GACTTTGAGGTCCATCGTGGGGGGTAAATATTAAAGCCTGGTGGCGGGGGAGGGGGGGGGGGGTAATAATTTGGGGTCCTCAAGGGACGCACCAGCTGATACAATCAGTGCACGACTAATCAAGGTGATCTGTGTTGTTTTGATACGCAGCACGGACATGAGTACAGGTGTGTTTTGGTGCGTCACGCTCTAGTTGCTTGTTGAAACTAGGTCGTGGGAGTATGGGAGGAGGGGGAGGAGACGAGAGGGGGGGTTAAGACACGGTCACGTGACACCGAATTTACATAGTTTATTTTTAGCTCACGCCCCGGCAGGACACATCCTTGACGGACCGTATCGTCATCTCGCGACAACAACCAGAAATAGACCACACCGCTGCAGTTGGCGCGTCACAGTGTGGCCACCCCCACCCCCACACACAACAATGTGTAGGGGTGGGGGTTAGTGCAGGTGTCTTGTCTAGCAGACAAGTAAGACACCAGATTATCCAGTGGGATTAATAGAAGCACTCTTATCACCCTAAATAGATTCAACATTATGGTTCCAAAAATTAATTTCAATTATATATATATATATAGGCCTATAGGTATATATATATATATATATATATATATATATATATATATATATATATATATATATATATATATATATAGCAGTATTCTGAAACGCAATTTGGGTGGTAGAAATTCAAGAAAATTCATCTGAAAGAAGTACTTAGCGCCCATGTTATACCTTGAAAAATTAAACTATACAATTTTTCTAGTGTATTTTCGTGGCACGGCATTTAGATTTTTTTCTCAGACACGGCTCCATTAGGAGTTCTTAAAGATCGTCAAATAATAAAAGCGAATACCTCTGTGTATTCTATTGTTCTAACAGACTTCAACGATCGATGTAGACATTTAATGCACTTAAAGCATGTTGGAGAAGTCTGAATAAAAGTAACTTTATACAACGTGACATAGAATTTAAAACACGGCTACTATTTTAAGCAGATGTGTGTGGGCGGCATATTGTGAAACGTAACTCTAGTCACACGACAACTCGTAGGTAGGAAAGGTGTGGGTTGTCTTATCTTGAGTTTCAAGCAGTCTAAAAACTGCCGCATCTGGTCTAGCCTGTTGATAACATTATGACTTGAGCACAACTTATGTAAACAAAAGTCATTAACGGACGAGTTGTGGCGGTTATGACAGTCGTTGTGGGCAAATATTTTATGACGTAAAGCTTTGAACTAGAATATTCGTGATAAGAGATTCGTATGTAGGCTTGTTCATGTCGTATGTAGGTATGTTCATGTCATATGTATGTAGGTTTGTAGGAATGTTATTCGTATGAAGGTTTGTTTGAATGGCGTGGCTGTGTTGCTTAGTTTAGCAGTTCTAAAAATGAGAATGCAAGTCTAAATATAAATCTGGAGAGTTCGAGCGAACGATTCTTGTCTCCTGAGCATCATTCATTATTTACACGTCTGGAACGTTCTTTACAAAGGTCATGGCCATATAGAGATGTTAATTGTGGGGGTGGGGGGGGGAGGAGGTTAAGCAGATCGTCTGTTATTTGCAATTAAACATCATCTCAGGACTCTCGTAATTAAAATGTCTACTTTGTAGAGTTAATTATTTTCTGAATACTAATTTCCAATGGTCATTTCAGGATAGAAGGAGGAGGGGTGGAGAGAGTATTATACGAACTTTTCGACCAATTGCAAGGGAGCTCTTGTATCCCCCCACCCCTTCCACGACCCCCCAAATTAAAAAAAATGTATTTTAATATTGTGAAATATTTCTATGCTGTTCTGTACAAATGAATCCCTAGCATACACTCTCACTCCATTTGTTTTGTTTATTTCGGTATTTAAAAAAAATATGAACAAGCGACGTATTATGTAACGGCTGAAATCTTTTTTTACGGAAACACAAAACCGTGTCACTCTCAGTTCTCCCTCCCCACTAACTTCCCTACCCTCCCTCCTTACCGACGACCCACCCTAAAGACGGCATAGAGATAACAACTGAGTTATCTGCCTAATGGACAATAACTCGAGTTAAACGCCCCCCCCCCCCCCACGTCATCTCATGTTTGCTGTAAGCTCCTGGTGTGAACAAAAGGCGCATTTCAACCGTTTTTATCACTAGCATCACCTGTATCTACCGGCTATAAATAGATTCGTTTCCATAGTAACCAAGAGCCAAGTTTAAAGTCGTGATCATTTTTCCGCCAATTACGTTAATTTTTCTGAAGCTGATTAATGTTTAGGGTATTGATTTTCGCAGCGTCGTTAGGATTTTGTCAGAGGGGGGGGGGGGGGCGTCGTTAGGGTTTTGCCTTGGGTAGGGTTTGGTTTTAGGTAGCTGGTAAGACCTGATGATTTGCATCAGATCGAAGAGTTTTCAATAACTAGACTAGCTTGGTCAATAACCTATGACTGGACAGGTTATTGGCCTTTGATTAGACAGACATTGAAATGGTTAATGGCATTTTACTAGACAGACATTGCAATGGTTAATGGCATTTTACTAGACAGACATTGCAATGGTTAATGGCATTTTACTAGACAGACATTGCAATGGTTACTGACATTTTACTAGACAGACATTCAACTGGTAAATGACGTTTTACTAGACAGACATTTAACAGGTTAATGACATTTGACTAGAGCGGCGCTAAAATGGTTTATGATTTTTGTGGCATAAGTTGTACTTGCTAATATAGTTTGACTTAACAGACATTCAAGCTAGCGAGTCGATTGTGAAGCTGTCAAAATATGAGCGTGTGTTTATGTCTTTATATTACTAGGCACACATGATTGCATGTTATTGGAATTTTTCGTAAGTATGTAACTGTATTGTACTGTACAAGCATCATATAAACAAGTATCTACCAGTATACTTTATCCAAGTATGTTGAAGTATCAAGTACCCATTTAGTTTTTCTTGCTGCAAGTATCTTATATTACTATACAGGTATCTTATGTGCTATAGTATCAGATGTGCTATAGTATCATGTATATCATGTGTCACAAGTATCATGTGCTCCAAATACCCTACAGTATTCTGAGCTATAAATACCCTACAGTACCCTGAGCTATAAATACCCTATAGTATCCTGAGCTATAAATACCCTATAGTATCCTGAGCTATAAATACCCTATAGTATCCTGAGCTATAAATACCCTATAGTATACAGTGCAATATGTATTCTGTAATATGAGTATGATACCCTCATATTATCTTCCCATGTGATATGGGCACATACAGAGAGAAGTAATTAAAATACCTTAATGAGTGAGACACCGGGATTGAACAGGTAGACCCACCTGTTGCTCCCTGGGTTGGCGCTATCGATTGGCCAGTCCAGATTTACACGGCTGTATTCGTTATATAAGCTGTGTTTTAATGATAATTACGTTTAGAGTCCATCGTGAAGTTTTTACGATAATTATTTTTCAAGCCCAATATGAAGTTTATGTGTTAGAATAATTATTTTTTGGGCCCAATATTACGTTTTAAAAGCTATTTTTTTTCAAGTCAATGTAAAGCTTTCACGACAATATTTGTTTTGAGCCCAATGTAAAGTTTATGTGTTAGGATAATTATGTTTTAAGCCAAATTTAAAGTTTTAAAGACAATTTTTTAGGACCGATATAAAGTTTGTTTTTATCCCAATTTAAAGTGTACTTTTATTAACGACAATAATGTTTAAAGCCCAATGTAAAGTTTCTGTGTTATATGTAGATGTTCTGTATCTGTTATTGAATGTCTGATGGTGAACTAGGCATTGAGTCATATTGCCGATTTTTATTTTATTTGACATATCCACGATAGCCTAATACAGGATCAAAGGTAGGCCTATAGACGCAAGCATAAGTATTGACGTTTGAAATGGTGTGTTAAAGGAAAACAAACATACCGAGGGTCATTGAGTCACGAATAATACACTGTATTAAAAATGTAAGTGCATATTTACGTTCAACGTTTATGTATAGGTTACTGATGTATAATCGATACTATTGATTCAATCGAACATGCACATCACTCAAAGTAACACACAGACCTAACTTTAATGAGATATTTTTTCTCTTTAAACCAATAATGACAGTTATTCTTTTGGGGTTAGGTTTAGGGTTAGATTGGGGTTTGCTATGGGTTAGGGTTAAGTTTAGGGTTAGGTTTAGGGTTAGATTGGGGTTTGCTATGGGTGATACGTCAATCAGACATCAGATAGGTTGATAGTATATCTGTGTAGGTCTACGTCGTGAATGTGTTTCGCACTTAAAAGAAACTGCCACTGAATACCTCTCACCCAAAGGTTACTTGAGTCTAACCCAATAATTTCATTAACTAGCTGAACTCAATGTTTATATCTAGAGGCATAAAATTAGGTTTTAGTACTGGTACCAGAAAAGTTAGTAAGAGAATAGTCCGACTAATAAATCAAAACCTAAATCTGTCTAAAGAGTATACTCCATACAAATGAGAAGCTGTGTTTTAGTAATGAAATATTAACAGTAACAGAAAAAGTTTTTATTTTTAAGGATTACGCTAAATATTTTGACAATCTAAAGCTACATTTGCAGGCTAAATTGCTAATATAACAACATAGGAATCTACAATATTTCAGAAAAAAAATCTTATGTCAGAACCTGGTTGAAAATCATTGAAGTTTAAACAAAAAACAACAAAAAAAAAATTCTCATAACAAATCTAGATCTGCGCTAACACTATAGAGTGAGTAAAATTGTGCTGACCACACAGGAATTCACTCACACCAGGAAGCGAGTTGTGTTCCTGATGGGGGGCAGGATAGTGAGCACAGCTCGGCCGAGTGAACCTCTCGCCAACTTTTTTTACTGGGTCAATATTTTAATCTGACCCTATAAACACCAACAACAAAAAAATAAAACACCCATTGATTAAAGTTTAATTAATTAACTGGTGGTTACCGCGGAAACGAAAAACCCCCTAACAACAGATGATACACAAGCGGGTTCTGACCTGTTGCCAACGGTCCTCTAGTGAAGGCTGAGCCGAGAAGTACCCCGTTTCATGGACAACCTGCAGCTCCCTGAATATATTACTCGTAGGCAGGATATCCATCATGAACGGTATCCACTGTCCAGTTCACACACGTAAATTGAATCCAGACCTCATGCAAATTAACTTCAGAACTATCCAACACTCATCTGCCGTCTGCCGCCGTACACTACACAACACACACAACAACTCCTCGACGACACAGTTTCGCTTTTTTTCTGCCCTCGTTTGCTCGCGCGTTCGTTGGCTGAACCATTCAAGCGGGGCTTCGTAGTTGGCGTTTCCCGTGGCCCCGTCGACTTCGGCTAAATCCGCCGGCAAACAATCGTAATCAGGTCATGGGAACCTCGAGAGGTTAACCAATGGCGCGACGGGGTTTCCCTGCTGTGGTATTCCAAGAATGTTCATTGACCAATCCGATTATCAGATACATTTTTTTTTTCCACAACGGGACGAGTGAGGGACAGCAACCTTAAAAGGAAATAGTTAGCGATCGATCGATCCTCTATGACAGAAAAAAAAATTAGTAGAATCTTCACAACTTAAATTCTAAAAATGTATGATAATGATACAGATGGCAAATCTATCTTAGTCGACCGGGCGTATCGATGCTACAATTTTCTAGTATCGATATCATAGCCCCTTAAGCTGGTCATAGTTCTAAGCCTAATGCTAAACTTAGCCCTACTTCTCGATAACTTAAACTCTAGGCCTCATCATAGCACTGATACTAGAAAAAAAAACATGTTTGGATACGATAAAAAAGGGCGTTTGTAATAACAAAGTACACCCGCACTAGCTTATATATAGGTCTGGTTAGTCATATATTTTTAATTAAACTTTTGACCCTCAACCCCCCCCCCCCCCAAACCTTTACCAGCGCAATTGACGCCTTTTTACAAGTTTTTATTTAAGTTGCTTTCTCTGTCTTAATCATGTCTGTCGTCAGTCTATCTGTTTAAATTGAAACGGGAGAGCGAAATTTCAGACACTTCTAACTGACAGATTCCTTTCAAAGTTGGCACGTGGGTCAAGACTTAAAGACAATGAACGCCCACGCTTTTGTTTATAGTTATTTAAATAGTACATTATTAATATATATTTAAATAAAATTATTTATTTCTCCTTTTCAGTGCATTATTACAAAAGAGCTTGTTATTAAAACGTTTTTATCCAGTTTTTTACGGAATGCACGAGTTAACAATAATGTACATTGTCTATTTAAGTAGGCCTATTTAATAATAACGACAATACAAAAAAATATTAAAATCTTGAGCTCAAATACCATTGTTTTAATAAAACGCTTTAGCAATTAGTTTCCCTCATATGTTTAAAAACTGCTGACAGCTATGTGTGGCCTGCGATTTTATTTTTTATCTTATAAATCCCAATTAATTAAACATGGGCACTGGATGACCTAGACTATGGTTATACGACGGTCACGTGACTAACGTGCGGTCACGTGGTAACTGGCGACAGATGTACGGCGTTTAGTCATACAGCTGAGGATTTTGGTGTTCGTTATTTTTATTTTTTTTGTTAGCTGTTGATGTTTATTTTGAAGGGGTGGTTTGAATTCCCATATTCTAAATTGAAACAAATTATGAGCTTGAATTGCAAATTTATACATTCGATAAACGTGCATTGTAAATGGATACATTTGGTAAACTTGTGTTGCAAATGAATACATTTGACAAATTTGCATTATAAATGAATACATTTGATAAACTTGCATTGTAAATGGATACATTGATACTTGCATTGTAAATGGATACATTTGATAAACTTGCATTGTAAATGGATACATTTGATAAACTTGCACTGTAAATAGATACTATTGATGAACTTGTATTCCGATATAATACATAAGGCATGCTACAAGGTTATTTCATGCTTTAGGCTTACCTTATCATACTTCAAGCTTATTTAGTCTTAGTTTACTTGGTCATTCTAATTCTAATTATTTTTTTTTGCTTAGAGTAAATACAGTGTTCTTTCTTTTGGCTCAACTATCTGCTTTTTATGTTTAAACTTTGGCTTGCAGTTTTTTATTTACTTCGGCTTTCAGTGAGTTTCCTAATTCCTAAGATTTGTACCCTATTTGATTGTCATTTTTGAGTTTAACAGTATTTTTTTCGGCTAAGCTAGTCTTTCTTTGGACTTATTTTATCTTTGCTTAAGCCTAATTTTAGTTTTTATTTTCTCTTACTTTTTCTTGACCTTCATTTGATAATACTTAACTCTTTTTAAGTTAAATTATATCATTAATTTTGGACGTAAGATGTCTTTAAGATCTATCATACAAAGACACATTTAATCACACCTAACTTTAACAACTAGACACATAAATTCAACTTTATGCTTGATCCAGCTCGAAATTAACAAAGCCGCTTTGTAGCCAGACTGTACTCAAACTTAATTGGACATAATTAAATTAAACAAACTTAGATCGGTGTTTGAATAATTAGCTAGCCAAGCATAAAAAAGGGCGTCAATTAGCACAAGGGAACAATTAATTAGTGGAATCCATTTGGTTTTGAGTTTTAGTACGCATTAATTAGCTCAGAAAGACGTAACACATCACGAGGCAGTTAAGAAACTCGCATCACTATATATATATATATATATATATATATATATATATATATATATATATATATATATATATATATATATATATATATATATATATATATATATATATATAATTCTAGAGTAACGCTTAGAAACAAATTCCGAAGTGTGTAGTGAGCTCTACAGAATATATGTATTGGTGTGAGTCATTGGTTTACTTTTTAAGTTCATGCTTTTTATGTTACTTAATTTAATCTGCTTACAAAACCTTGCCAACAAACTCAGTCTAATCGAAACGCTACTGGCCTACAAACTACAAACATTGCATACAAACGCTATGTGCCTACAAATTCAGTCTAACTAACAGCTCAGTCTAACTACAAACCTGGCCTACTACGTCAGTCTAATTACAAACATTGTCTACAAACTACTGTCTACAAACTACCTACAAACTGTCTGTCTACAGATGCTATCTGCCTACAAACTTTGCCTACAGACTTTGGCACAATTTTATAAATTGCGAAAAATTTCAGCCACCTCAATCAAAACACGGAATCTAATGTGTTGTGTGTTAAAATCGACTTGATACCATGTTTCAGCGGTACTCTCGTCTGGTTTGGTGTCTGCAATTGTCTGAAACACCACTACAAAACTGTGTCATCTTACTTAGGCATCTACGTCTATATGGCGGGGGAGCATGTGTGTGTGTGTGTGTGGGGGGGGGGAGGGTAGGCCAACCTGCAGTCAAATCTCACACAATCATAGCGCCCACAAAACTCTGTCTTATAGACATCATTAAACAAATCATCATCATATATTCCCTTTGTGTCAAAGACACATGGGGCTGGAACAGAAAGCTTTTTCCACCTTTGCCGGTCCCTTGAAAAAATTTTTAACAGTCCCCAACCGTCCTACTTTTGACGGTGATTTTTCTGCTGTACGCCTCCATGTTTTTAGCCTTCCATTTTTCCTTTTCACTTAAGGCGTACAGTTGCGCGCCATTTCTGTGATTTTATCTGAACTTATTCTCAAAACGTGCCACATCCAGCGCATATCTTTTTCGCCGATTATTTTGGTAACAGCTTCTAGTAACAAAACAAAAAAATTTTCTGAAATTTTTATTTTGCTTGAAATGTAGGCTAATCCTCCTTCCATATCTAGCATCAAACAACTTTCCTTTTATTCCAAGTCTGCTTGTCCTAAAACGAAAACCTCCGCACAAAGTCGATGAATATTTGATGCCTGCGCATAATGGCATGCTACAGAACAGGTGATTTGCTCAGTAATCTCCTACTTTAGCATCTGTAGTGGTAGAGGCTGGGTTGGTCACATGGACAATTATCCCCAGTTTAATTTTTCTATCGATCTTTAAAACAATGCAGCAGGCAAACAAAGAAGAGTTGGACAAATCGACTATACAGCTAGTACCGGCACTGTTGAATATGTTTTCTTCCTAGGCTAGATGTTTCTCTATTTTCTATTGTTACTAAATATCTCTATATTATATATTATATAAACATCAGATTAAAAAATACAAATTCTACATACCAGAGGCGTAGCTAGGAGAGGGAGAGTGGGGCGTCCGCCCTCGCGATTTAATTTAGACGTAAGTTACAGTCGATGTTAAACAATGCATCGGTTAAGATTTATGTTAAACAATGCACTGCAAACCCCTATGTTAAACGATCTCTTTGTTACACCTAATGGAAAATGATGTAGTGGTTAAACCATATGTTAAACGACGCAGGCGTCAAGATCTATGTTTAGCTATGCACTGGTTACTCATGCGGTTAAAATTTATGCTAAACGATGCATTAGTTAAACCCTGTATTAAACGATGCATTAGTTAAACCCTATAATAAAGAGATCTATTGGTTAAAACCTATGTTAAAAGATCTATTAGTTTAACCGTAAACCCTATATTAAATGATGCATCGGTTAAACCGTATTTTAAACAATCCACTTTCAAGTCCCTTGTAAAACAAAGCGAAGAACACCAAAACAAAAGTTTCTCTTTTCTCTACATCAGTACTTGGGTACGTCTAATCCGAAACAGCTGTAAACAATAAATCGATACCTGCGGATCCTGCAATCTGAAATAAACCTCACAACTGATGCGCGTCAAGTAGCCCCCCCCCCCCCTACTCACGCCCTAATTGATGAGCACTTAACAGCCATTGATCATAATCATCAAGTCACGCGTGACCGGCCTTGCACGAGATTTGTAAAACATTCACCCTAATTCATGGAAATTCCATTTCTCTTCACCGCCTTCTAATGCGATATTGACATTTACAGAGGAATAAATCATTTAAACACCAGTTATAAAATTTAATCCGTACAGCATTAAAATAATAACTGGTTTTTAAAGATCATGAAAATACTGAAGGGCCTGAACTATAATCGACATTGTTTTTATATTGATGTGTTGTTTTATGTATTGAAAAGGAAAGAAAAGATTTTACGATACGGTTTCCATTTACTATAATATTTTATTACCTAGTACATGCAGTCCTCCACACACCACACCACACACACTCACACATACCACCACCAACACACGTATTCCTCCACACACACCACACATACTACACACAGCA